GGATCATGAAGATTCACACATTTACAACCAATAGTGCACGTTGTAGTTGCCAAAGTCTTTGAAGTTTTCAAAACTCTTTCATAATATTCATCTTATATGAAACACAACTCTGTGGTTCTGGTGTCTGAAATTCATAGATGAGTAAACCAGCTTTAGAAAAAAGGTGTGACTCTTCAAGAACTCATGGTGACAATTTGCTGTATTGGCACACTAAAACCATTTCAGAAAGAATGCATGGATTGTAGTTTTTTTTAATGATAGTTAATGATAGTAGTGAAATAAAATTAACATGGATATGATAGATTAATCAACATAAGATAGGCCTGGAGCAACTACTAGTTCAGTGTTAGATGGAACTTTCTAAAGCCAATTGACCAATCAGGGCCTTGCACATGGTAGGCAGGCACTCTACCATTGAGCTACATATCTAACCCCTTGTTCCTTCTAAAGGGACCCATTTGATCAAATCTTCAATTGCTGATTCCTGCTACAGGTACAACCTGATGCACCAATGGACCTTGGAAGCAAAGTGAATTATAACATATTGTCTTAACAGAACCACTGTCTTTTGGTCCTAGCAATGCTAAAGCAGTCAAATGTCTTCTGTACAGGCTAAAGTGTCATTTTCAGAGAAAGGTGATCTGCACAGTTTGTCCTTGAAATTACCGACCAATTGGACGTAGATATTGCTGCACATTCTCTGGGACATCAATCATAGTCGGTGCCTATGGAGTGTGCCAAATACTGAAAGCTGAATCAATCTCATCATCATCTGTCATAAATTCAGTAATGCTGTATTAACAGCACATTTAGAAAGCACAATATCTAGCCATCCTGTTAGCAACTGTATTTCAGAAACTTCTAGCATGAAACTAAGAAGTGACAGATGATATTGGTACCCCTATATCTGAAAATACAGTGCACATTTCAGGGCATAAATTAAATTTAGTGTTCTTCCCTGTAGTTCTGTGGTTTCATATAATTGCTCAGTTGTGCCTGGGCCCTTGTACAGAATTTTTCTTCTTTCTAGTATGAGTGAGTCCTTCCCCTTATTCAGCTCCTTCATCAGGCTAATTGGCCAAGCCTTTAAGACTAAGCTTAAAAATAATTTCCTCAAGCATTACTCTATATTTTATCTTCATCGAACATATGCAGTGACTCAACAGCTCTCAGCACATGAGAGTTCTCAACACACGCTTGTTAAATAAATGAAAAGTTAGGTGCACTTCCCTCTAATCTTTTCCTCAAGGCATGCTGGTTTTACCTGTGTCAAGTAAATTTTCCTTTAGATTTGAATGACTTGTATATCTGTTTTCTGAAGGTTAAGATTTTATTTTTTATGATAGGGATTGATTCTTGTTCAATTCTTTATCCCAAGACCTATGTGGCACCCAATACCTGTGGAATAAATGATGGGTTTGCTGTTCTAGGTCCGTAGGAGTCCGAAATGCTTTGGCTGATCCTATTGAGCTCTTGTTTTTCCATGGGTCACACAAACCTCAGGTCCTTCTTAAGAGGGTGCTCTGTGTTAGCATTGTTTTTCGGTTTCACTTGGAAGAAGGTGGAAAGAGAGATCACTCTGATGAAACAGGGTTTTCATGAAACATTTTTTGAAGGAAATTAATACCAGAGATCTTAGATGTGTAATGTTTGAGAACAAATATACCCTACGCAAGGGCCAGTCCATTTGCCTCTTGTCTTAGGATCAGTAAAAGATGAATAGAAAATACTTCACGGTTGAAATAAGAGAGGCTCTGATAGTGAAAAATGGCAATGGATTGAGGAGCGTGTGGACCTCGTCTTACTTCTGTTTCTCATTGAGAATGTTTCTTTAGCAGTAAAATTAACCAAGGGAGCTCAAAGAACCACTTTCTCCAACAGCCAACATCCCCTGTCATATGTTAAACGATAATCACTTTGGTTCCCCCTCCAACTTTCCCTGACTTTACAATATATTTTCTAATTCACATTTAAAACATTTTTATCTCAACTGTGATTATATAAGGAACTCATGATAAGCAAAACCATATTGCAGGAAATACCTTTTCTTGCTTTTTTCCTTCTCCCTCTCTCTTTTTGTTAATGCATATTTTCCATGTATTCTGCCCTTTCCCTCCTTCACACGCCCCTTTCTTTTTCTTTTTGTATCCCCTTTACCCTCTTTGTTTTTCAAGGGAAATTGCACTGGGGTAGTTTTGATTCACTTCCAGGTGATTACCAAAATTTTATGTTGTTAGAATGACTTGATACTTAAAATGCCGATTCTTTATAATTAAGTAAGAGTGGACTGAAATTGATAGCTTTGGGTTTTGAAAGGGATTATATTTCATTGGTGCTTCCAGTCGGGGGAGGAGGGAATCCCGCATTTCAGTGGTCCCATGATGGAAATGAAGAACCTAAGATAGACATATTGGACCAGGGCTCTTGACTGGGGCCAGCTCTCCTGACCCTAAGAATCAGAGATCCTGACATCTTGTTTTTTGCTTTGTCTTCTTGGCCTTGTGCCGCATTTGTGATTTCTCTCTGCAAAGTGGTTGTTTCCTCTGTATTTTCCTCCTAGAGTCTTTTATTTTATTCTCCTTATTCAGTGGTGCCAACCTTGTCATTGATTTATGAAGGACAATTGCAGCCAAACTCCAATGAAATAAATGGTGACATGTAGATTTCTTCTTCCAAGCTAAATAACAGTCACAGACAGATTACTCACAGAATAATGATTTTATTTGGGAATGACAGAGCATTGTAATGGCAATACATGTGCCATAGTAAAGTATGAGTATATTCAAGAAGGTCAAGACAAGGGGAAGTTTTAAAGGTGAAAGTGAGAAGTTTACGTAAGCTACTTAGATACTAAGTTCATTGATCTTGGAGATGCATGTGGTGCTGGAGGGAGATGCATGTGGTGGCATGAGTTTATTGGTGCAGATTCCACTGCTGGGCCAGTATTCTATGGAGAGACTCTTGTTTGAATTGTTGCAGTATTAAAGAATGTTAAAGATCAACTTTGTTACACAAATCTGTGCATACATGTGACTGCAAAGCACAGAGTATGTATAGAATGAGGCATGTGCTGGGCCTTTGAAAACTCCTTGAGAAAGTCCTTATCTCAGATAGACAGACATGGGTCCTCCCCCTCATAACTTCCCTCTCTAATTTTGTCTGATTCTGACAAGAAGGAGTTTGTCCTCATATCAACTTTCACAGTCATTTTTCTCTGGTGTAGATATTCAAAGACCTGGCACTGTGGGAAGAAGCAGAGCTGTCAAGAACTCTGCTTTATTTATATTTGATCATCAAGAAAGCCTTCAGTCATCATGAGGTCCAGCAGAAGACTACAAATGTACAAATTGGGAAAACCATTGCCCTCCAGTTCCCAGGAGACAAATCTCCCTTCTCAGCTAGCTGCTGGGCACTGCTCCCTGCTGCCTCGCTGTTAACCCTCCTGAGTTCAGAGGCTGCCAGGCAGGCTTCAAGTGCTGGCTGCCCAGAAAGGTGCATTTGTAACTCTAAGCAGTTTGCCACCTTCCCCTCTGAGCAAGCAAAGGGAAGGGATTATTAGCATGCAAGTACAAGTTCTGTCACACAAAAGAGCCACATTGGAAAAGCCCACCGCATTCTTCCTCTAGTTGTTCAAATGAGGGCAGCTAGTGTAGCAAGTTCAGCCCTAAGAAGTTTATCTGAAGTGAGTTTCCAGTCCTCTCTGAGTACTTGGAGTTAAATCCCTTACCATTTAGAGGACTTATATGGATTCAATTTTTCCAAATAGTTTATGCTTTAGTTTAAGATAACAGAACTATCTTATCTCTCTCACTATTTATCCATTAAAAATCCTACAAGCTTGGAAGCATTTGGAAACAGTTAAACTGCAACATATTGATTTTTTCAGTAGTGGAAACCATGATTTGGAAAAAAAATAGTACCACCTCTGTGGTTCAACCTGTGATGTCTATGTTTTTAGGAATATTAGCATCTTACTCCTAGCTTAATTTTTAGTTTTTGATGCTTTTTTTTCCTCTCCACTCCAAGTGTGGAACACACACCAGAAAATTTTTTTTAACTAAATTTCTTACTTTTTTTTTAAATTTAAGCAAGGTAAAAGAATGTCAGAAGTCATTCAGTTCTAGCAATACTCCTTGACATTAGTCATTTTACTTATCCCATTCTGACTTTGATTTCTCTCCATTATCCAATTGGCCTAAGGATGTCTTGCCCTCAAGTTTTCCTGAAAAAGCAATTTAATGAGATAATGTAGATGAGGCTCCTTGAAAAGTTAAAAAAGTTTCCATAGAAACCAATATAAGCTTTATTCACATTTATTTAGTGATCTTTTAAACACATATGGTGGCCTGACGTGTATTATTTCGTGATACCTCAGAATTTGTTTCCAAATGTCTCTGGCCATGGAGTGTGAAAATATTACTTATTCAAACTAACAAGCTGTTTGACAAGTTGAAGTCTATGTTTAACTTGGTTGTTTTAAATTTCAGTGATTTAAATCTCAGTGGTTACTAGTATTCAAGATAAAAAATAAGAGTGCTAGAGTAGGCACAAATAATGGAAAGTTTACTACTTTAAGGCTCATAAGGTGAGAAAAATTGAATGTAAATATTGAATTTAAAGGCTAATGATGCATATTTTTCATAAAATATTTTTAAGTCCATGTATTAGATCTTAACACAAATTTACAGAATTAGCAAGTTCTCACCTAATTTATCAAATGAATAGCAAATTTTATAAATTTATTTAGCATTCTGCTCTAAGACTTAGTTAGATACTCTAGCAGATTATTTATTTATGCTAACTAAAACTGACTTGAAAGATATATTGTCATCTCAAAAAAATTATATCTCTTTTAAAGAGCAGAAACTGCCCATCTGATACTCTCTAAAGAGACGGTGGGGAAGAGTCGCCTCTGTGCCGCTCTCAGATCTCCATGACTCTTTCATTCTTTCTGTCTCCTTCTCCTGACTTTTTCAATCTTTCTTCCTCTTTGTCTCTAGGGAGAAGTCTCCAGTGGTGGATACCCACTGAAAAACTATCCGGAAGAAGTAAGTTTTAAGGCAGCCTTCAAAGCACAGTCTGAAAATAGTCTATTGTGTATCCTAAACACTTACTTGTGCTTTCTTCACCCACCTGTAGCTCTCCTAGTCTGTATATGTGCATTGGTTGTGTCCACAACAACAATATGACAATAAATGTTCTCAAAATAGTTTTTGATTATCATTGGTTGATAGTTCCTGTGTAGTAGTTCAGTCATCTTGAGCATGAACCTAGTACTATCACATATTTCCATTCACAGATATTTGCTGATACCCTGATGAAGGTTTGATTGTTCATGAAAAGAAAAGAAAGACCTCATCAATGTTTTTATGGAAAGAACAATCTAATACTAGGTTGACATTCATTCCTGTGGCAAATGCTCATTCAGATGACATTTGACAAGGTGTTACACACCTTGTGTGTGTTACAACACAAAGTGCTGTCCCAACATTAAAATATGCAATGGAAGTCCCTTGAAAACCCCTTTGGATTCTTGGGTTTATTTTTGGATATATTTTTGGGTATTCTGTGTCACAGAACTTTGGACTGAATACTGAGTATTTGGGAACTCTCAGAAAAAACAGTGGATAGAGTTCCCAAAGCTTGATCTGGAGATAAACCACAGTGGTCACTTAATTAGCCAGCTGAACCTGCTGCAGGTGAAGGGGTATGGGAAGCAGTTTGGTGATGGTATTTTAGCAGTACTAACTACCTGGTTTCAATGTTACTTCTTAGCAGGCAAGACTCTGTTCCTATATAACTATTTTTGCATGTGTGAGTCCACTCAAAAACCTGACTCTGCTGTATAGTTCATACATACATACATACATAGTTTATTCAGAATGTGTGTCAATACTTAAACTCTCACTTGCTTCCATATATCACTTGGAGAGCAAAATTGGAATGCATAAACACCCCTTTTAGTTTTTTTTTTTTTTTTTTGTACTTGAGATTAAACCTAGGACTGCTTAACCACTGAGCCACATACCCAGGCCCCTGGCACCCCACTTTTTAAAAATATATTTTATTTAGAGACAGGGTCTTCCTGAGTTTCTTAGGACCTCACTAATTTGTTGAGGCTGGATTTGAATGCACAGTCCTCCTGCCTCAGCCTCCTAAGCTGCTAGGATTGCAGGCATGTGCTGCCATCCCTGGCTGCCCACCCATTAAGATTTACATACCTATTTAGTGGTAGTTGAAGCTTTGCCAAAGACCCCTGCAGAAAGAGTGACCAAAGGAGAAAAAAAGAAACGTCTATATAGCTGTTTGAATTCAGGTTAGAAAAGTCAAAATATATAAGGCAAAAAAAAAAAAAAAAGAGTGGAACCACAACCCTAAATTTCAGTTTAATGAATTTGATGCAGAGATTGAGTAGAAGATGTTTAGCAACTAGCACAGCAATTAATGTTGCCCACAGGAAGGAAGATACTATTTTTGAAGTATTCATCAGTAGAACCTCCCTTTAGGATTCTGTGGTTGCTGGGTTCTGCATTCCTCACTTGTTGGTAGGGTTGGAGGTGGCTGGCCTCCTCCACAAGTAAGGTATCTAATGCCTTTCTAATGTGTCCTGTCTGGATTTAACACTATGGAAGAAGAGGGGCCCTGAGGTGCTGGTATAAGAAATGGGCTGTTAACTATGATGGAAACACTACAATAAGACTTATTCTAATTTTGTAATTCTAATTCAAGAATAGCACCTGATTTTCTCTGTAACTACCAATGCATTGCAATGTAAGTGTGCATGCCATATATAAGCATGAATCCTTTATTTGGCAAGAAGGTTGAGAATTTGTGCCTTCTCTTGGGATGTGCTTGAAGGGCATTGCTCCTCAGAGAGGCCCTCTGACTACGTCAGCATTATCTCGGGGCTTGTAAGAAATACAAGGGATTGCTGGATACTTAAAGATTTAAAAATCATCCTACCAAGATCTCTGTGATTCATAAATACCCCAGGTGGTGAGAAGTACAGTTCTAAAGAATCCTTTCCAGTATTATTTCTGGAGATTTTTGTATATTGTGGTTATTACCAGCAGCATACCCCAGGGGCTTAGCCTGGGTCTTGGCTGACAGAATGCAGCAGTGTGAAGAAATAGGCAAACAATGGAAAAAGGAAAAAAATGTATTTTATACAGTTTGATGGAGATTGCTTCTTCCTCCACCAGCCCCACTGAATCAGTCACAATTTATAGAAACAAAGCCAGGTGATACCCAGATGTAGATTTAGTTAGTCTGTGCTAGACAGTTCCCAGTATAGGGGGATCTCCACTTTAACCTCTGTGGCCTCTGCCAGGTCAGAGCATGCAGCCTTGCAGCCTCCATATGAGCATAAGGAAGTTGAGTTCAATTTCAGAAGGACCCCCAACTTCAATCTGTTTCATAGGAAGAAGTTTTATGTAGCAGCTAAAGGTAAAAAATGTGAGCCACAATATGATATTATTTTGTTCTTTTTCTCACTTAATGCTCTTACTTTTACTTTTGCCATTTTCCTTCAGTTTAGTAGAATCAGGAAACAGTAAACAACATTTAAAAAATGTTAGATGCATTGATGTTAAAAGCAAGCTAGCAAACATTTGCTTTTACTTAGTACACACAAAAATTCAAGTAAATCACAGTGTTTACATTTTTAAGATACTTAACATTTCTTGTTGAAGTTTGAAGAACTCTTTGCAGATCAAAGTTTCTGTTTTTTTAAAATCTAGTCTTATAGTAAGGTAGAATCATAACCATACAACATTAGGCAGTTTTGGTTAGACCTGAATCAAAACTGAAGATAAAATATATTCTCCCTTAAGAGTAAGGCTAAAAGATAAGTTTTATTCTATATTTTCTACTTGTTAGTGTGTTATTTTTTCAGGATAATATTTGTGTTTTTGACTGAATAAAAATGATATATTTTATAATAATCTACTTTTCTTGATCTTCAAAATATCTCTGATAGTTAAAAAACTTACATGCTCTTCACTTGCTAACTCAAAAGTGGAATCATAATTTCATAACAGAATTTTTAGCTTTTAGAATGATAATGTTATTGCTCAATGAATACTATATAGATAGAGTTGAGAACAACTTAACAAATTTAAGCATAAATCTTGGTTGTTACACCTTTTGTAGAGAAGTTAATCTCTTTAAAATATCACATTTCCTAGATGAATCATTGGGAAGCAATATGGTACACTAGTTGAAAATCACCTACGTAGTAGTGAAATGTTGTGATTTAAATATATATGCATGAAGATAAGAATTGTCACCTTAAGCAGTTAAGAATTTTTAAAGAACCCAAGAAGTTAATGATTTTTCAAACTTTAAAGAGCAATTTACAGTGGTCCTTACAACTTTGGGAAGCTAGTGGTGAAGGCCAGAACACCCCAAGGTCACCGGCAAGTGGCAGCTTCACAGACTCTAAGGGTGTCAGACAGGGAGAGAAGCATTGGAGGAAGGCAAGCCTCTTTTGAATCTGTCAGCTTGATTTTGTGAGCCCTTCCATCTGAAAGGGAAAGGTGATCAATTCTCTGAACAAAATATCTTAGAATCATTTCTGGCCAGTTTGTATTGTTTCTCCTGTGTTGTATTCTGTGATCCCCAGCATACTGAAGTTCCAACTCTATTTCTGGTGGGGAACATATGACATTATCATCTATAATAAGTAAGTAACTTTATTTTTATCCTTCTTAGGGACTTCTTTGTTAAAAGCTGAAGCCAATTATTATTTATTATCACAGTTTTATTTGGCTTGGTTAACTAGGAAACAAGTATTTTTCCCCCAAAGAAAATCAATTTGTCATTGACAATCATTAAAAATAGATTTATGTTGTTCAATAGCAACTTTCAAAAGATTATAATAGTACTGTCATACAGATGCAAACTGAAGACATGTCAAAGATTTATGTAACTAATAAATCAGTGAGGGAACAAGTAACATGTTCAAAGGAGAATTCAAACTGTCACATATGCAGACAAATAGGGATGCTGAAGTGAAGTTATAAATAGATGCAAAAACTGTCAAAATAGAATCATCTCAATAGGATAATAATCAATTGCACTATAAAAGAATGAAATTGAATTTCATGTAGGCAAGAATATTTGGCACTTTTATAATTGTCTATAAAAATATAATTATAAAGTAGCTAAAGTCAATGAAAGATCAAGAGCCTCTATAGAATTAGGTAACTGGAAGTCATGTTATAAAATGGCTTTTCATTGACTACCCCTGACAGTTTTTCTTCCTTTTTCAAGTCTTTGGCAACTTTACTTTGCAATTTGCTTGGAAAGGAAAACCACCAAATGCAATGAGTTAGAATATAGGATGGAGTGTGATCATAATGCATTGTCAATATAGCCAATATGTCCTGTAAATTTGAGTAGTTAATTTTGCAATGTTTCTTACAATCTACCATATTTTTCTAACTTTATTATTACTCCTTTCTTCTTTTATCAGATCCTGTTATTTCAAACTATAGTTCCCCAAACTTGGTGAATTCTTTTTTCTTATAGTTTCATTGTCCTTTTGCAGTTCTTAAAAGAAGTGGGCTATAGAATCATACTTTCACAGCTTGGTTGTATGGGTACTTTTATTAATAAATATAAAAAAGAAAGTTATTCACAAACTTTGCTAATTTAACTATGTCAAATATATGTAGGAAATTTCCTTTTCTTACAGGTACAGGGCCAATTCTTCATCAGTAGAAGCAGTCTATTCAATGTATCTAGAATTGAGTGTGATTTTGTTTTGCTTTATATATACCATGCTTCAGGGATCTTTTTGTTTTGTTTTGTTTTAAGAGATTCTGTGGCTATAGAAGTAAAATAAAAATTATTGAGTCTTTCTGAAAAGTGGAAACTAATGTTATTTCCATACTTAAACATACTTATATCAAGAGGAAAGAAATACTTAGTTAATTCAGAATTTAAGTGTCCACTAGTGAAAATTTGAACAAAGAAACATTTTTTTTCCTTTCTAAGTATACAGAACTTCCATAGCCACATGTGACATAAATCACTGATTGCATTTAGAGAATCTAAAAATAAGCTATCCATGTGGAACAATACAGCTGAACTTTATAAAGCACTTATTCTGTTAGCAGATAGAATGATATGTTGATTCAGGGCTGGCAACTGTTTCCCATATGATCCATGTCACTGTTTCCCACCCCTCCTAGTTACTGGACATTTGCTATACTCACAGTGAAAGTGTTTTAGAAAAAGAATGAATAGTGTTTCTTCTAAAAGCAGCCCAGAGAATTTACTCTTGGGAATATGAAAGGGCTTGTACCGAACTCAGACATAGTTTAAAGTGCCTGTAGAAAATTTTTGAATAAACTTAACAAAGAAGAATGCATCAGCTCTTGTGTACAACATGTTCAAGATTTTACCTCCTTGACCCCATCAGAAAGAATTATATGTAGACTGTTGGGCTGAGCTTTGGACATGTCCTATTGGCACTGATAAAGCAAACAGGTGCATTATATTACTAGCTCTATTCCAGGGAAAACCAAAGTAAAACAGTTGTATCATCATCTATTAATAGTAATATTTATTCTATGTTTATGATTCTAATAACTCAACATTTTCAAGTTCTTCCCAAACTACATATTTTTCTAACTAATGTTCCATTTGTACTTTTTATAATTTACAATAAACAAAGAATAGTTGGATGCTGCTTATCTTCTCAGGAGTAAGGCCATTAAACCCAGAAACCAATCAGTACTATTGATTAATATTCTGAACTATTGTGGGGAAAAATTGACATATGCGTCACATCTTTTCTTATGAGAATGGATTTTAGTATTTAGTACAAAAGATAAATAACTTATAATTTATTATTAGGTAGAGTGCTTGGCTAGTGTGTATGAGACACTGTTTGACCCCTAGCTCTGTAAAAGAATCATTATCATTATTATTATCATTTTATATATTTGTTTATTTATGCAGAACAGCTGATTGAACCCAGTGTCTTGCACACACTAGGCAAATGCTCTACCACTGAGCTACACTGCCAGCCTCAAAATATGTTTTCATTAGAATAGATTTTCTTTTGATCACTTTAAAATTTTCTCTTTTACATGAGGAGCCTGAGTCTTTTGATGTTACCTTAGAACACCAAAACCATCATTTTCTTTTGTATTTCTTTAAACATCAGAGACTGCATGTTTTTTTTTTTTCAAAAAAATTCAAGAATGTGATTTTCCCTCTGTTACATGTGAATTTTTGTAGTTTTACTTCTGCCATTATCTCTATAGTTGTGGAATTTTAAATCTAAGTTTTTTCAGTTTTTTACTGCTTCTTTGTATAATCCTAAGGTCAAATCTAATATGACAAATTTTAAAAGATTAAGCTAAATCATAAAAATAAATATCAATTAATATTTATTAGTGTATTGAATGTCTTTAATGTTTTGCAAACTTTCCCTTCAGTAGCTCATCTGGTACCTCCCACATTCAATCACATAAAGAAGAGTGGAGACCTAGATGTGGACCAGTTGTTAAGGACTAGACATTGTCTAATCTAGTACCTTCACCCTCTTCATGTTGTCCCGAGAGGAGAAGTAACTGTCCCAATCTAAACAAGATTAAAAAAAAGAACAAAAACGTGTCTCCTCATCTCTAAGGCAAGGACTTTTCCCTGCAGAGCTCATGGCTCATTGGATAAGAAAGTTTCAATCCAAATAACAGACTATTTTCAAGATCTGTTGAGGCTAAAAATTTCTGGTGTTTTCATTTTAAAATGAAGATCATTTTCAAACTATTAGTTTGCTTTGTCTTTTATTTTTAAAGTAAGCCTTTTTATTTTAGATCAGTTTTAGATTTGCAGAATTAATGCAGAGATAATAAAGAGATCCTGTATACCTCCTACTAGTTTCAAGTACTATTAATACCTGCTATTAGTGTGGGATTTTTGTAATAATGAATAGGCCATTATCAAACATTCTTAGTAATGAACTTCTCACTTTGTTCAGCATTCCACAAGTTTTTCTTAATGTCCTTTTTTTCTGTTCCAGATTCCATCCAGGATACCACATTGGATTCTCTAGTTCTATCTCCTTAGGTCCTTCTCGATTGTGACCCTTTCTCAGGCTTCTCTTGTGTTTCATGACTCTAGAAATTTTGACTTTCGGCTAGTCAATTATTTTGACTAGTACTGGTCATATATTTTGTTTTTGTCCTTCCGTTGATATTTGTTGGATATTTTTCCTCATCATCAGACTGGGATGATGTTTTTAGAAAGAACATAGATATAAAATTCTGTTACTCAGTCCCTGTTTTGTGGCAGGTACTATAATAGATGGAGGAAATGCATAGGGGAAATATTTACCCATGCCTTCAAGGACCTTCTAGGCTACTATGGAGACAGTGGGTTATTGAAAGTATGATTACTATAGACTCATTGTGATATGGGTACCTTAAACCCTTGAAGGAATGGAAGAGCATCCTGGCTTTGGAGTACTGGAAAGCCTTCTAGCAGAGGTGACACTGGAGCCTTGGAGGAAGAGTGTTAATGTTGGAGAGAGATAAGGAACTGCAGTGTAAAACACCCTGTTAGATTGTAGGATATGACAAAATTGATGCTACCTGTTAACTACAGTGGAGTGGTAGATATGGGTTGGAGATCAGGCTAACGGGTATGGATCCTGATAGGCCTTGAGTTAGACTCTGGGAATAATGAGAGAACCTTTGAAAGATTATGAGCAAGCTAATGATAACATACAGGCTTCTAAAAACACTGAAGTCAGAGGAAAACAGTAAGAAAAATTAGAGAGATTACAAAAATTGGCCATAAAATTTTTCACAGATGGTTATTACTACAGTCAAAATGGGAGATGGTTGGGATGGGGACATAGCTCAATGGTAGAGCATTTGTGCACCATGCCTGAGGCTCAGTTTAGTCCTCAGGACCACAAATGACACCAGTACCAAGAACAACAAAAAATAACATGGGAAATGGTGACTTTTGGTTAGTGACTGAAAGGAAAGAGAGCAGTAAGGAAGGATACAGGGAACATTTTTACAAAAATCATGAGTAGAATCTGGATATAGCGGTGTGCACTTTTACTTCCAGCAGCTTGGGTGGTTGAGGCAGGAGGATCACTTGAGCCTAAGAATTCAAGACTAAAACAGATAAAAAAGCTAAAAAAAGAGGAAGGAGACAATGAAGGAATACTGAAGGGCAAAGTTGAGTGAAGTGTTGTTCCCCAAGTCCTACCAATCTGTTTTCTGATTAAAAGAAATTGAAATGATGTTTGGAAAGAGGCACATTTTATGCAATTTTGTATTCCATAAAATTCATATTTCCAAGAATGAGTGTCAACATTGCTATAGAAATATTAACAGGAAAATAGTCTAGATATTTCTTCTTGTTAACATTGTAAATCTTATTAAAAGGAAAATGTAAACAAAGGTAGTTTTGTGACTCATGTCTATGACATGAAAACAAATTTAAACTTCCAGCTCTTCTCTAACATAGAGGAGTGCTTCTTAGGGTTTTTGAAGATGCAGTTTATAAAAGCAGAGTTGTTCACCCATACTGGTTCTCCTGATATCAGTCTAGAGTCTCACCAAAAATAATTTGTTTTCTTGCAGGATGAATCTTTAAAGCAACTACAGGTACTTCATCAACCATGGCTTTTGCCAAGTGACACAGAGAGTGAAGGCGTCGAGGCAGAACAAGACAAACGTGAGTAGACACTGCTGTTTATTGACAAACTGCATTTACCAAGAAGAAACCCACAATAAAGGTATTTAATTTTCATAGCATTAAACAACTTCTGCAAAAAAATGTGAAACTTGATTATAGAGAACATTTTAAAATAAATTACACTTCAGGTCCATAAATTTGATTCAGTGACATCCTAATTATGATATAAAGGTCCACAAACTAACTTTCAAAAAAAAAATTATTCTTCTTGAAGACCAGCATGAAATGCTCTGTTAAAATGTGAATCTTCTATCGATATTGTAGAATTATATCAGTGACAACTTGCTGTTATTTAAGGAGCTTAAAGAATGTTAGGATCCATTTATTATTTATATAAAATTATCTTGGTTGGTTAAATGAATAAATTTATATTAAATTCATAATTACAAATTTATGAATATATAAATATATATAAACTAAGTCCATAAAATAAATTATCATAGATTTCTTTTGTGATACCAGAGAATGAATCCAGAGGTGCTTAAACACAGAGCTACATCTCCAGCCGTTTATATTTTTTTATTTTGAGACAGAGTCTCACTAAGTTGTTGAGGTTGGCTTCAAACTTGTGAACCTCCAGCTTTAGCCTCCTGAATCACTGAGATTACAGGCATGTACCACTATGCCTGGCATAATATATAATTTAAGACAAATAGAATATATGATTCTTGATTTAAGTTTCTGGGTTATTATATCAAGACAAGGATCCCTATACTGTGACAAGGCCCCTGTCAAGCTCTGCAGGGGATTAGTAACAGACATCTGGGTTCAGACATTTTGTTGAGAGGTTTGTGTTTGGATTATATAGAAATAGCACAAACTTTTAAATAGTAGCATATATAAAAATTTTAAAACCAATTGTAGATTGCAGAGAGAAATAACTATGTTTCAGGTATATCATAATGGCCCTCATCATAGCCAGTGTGAAGTTAATTAATAACTCTCCTGAGCCACATCCACTAGAGATAGCTAATGTGATATACAGGTAACATCAGGATTCCATACCCTGGGGTCCTAGCAGGAAATCACTCTCACAGGCTTAAAGGCATTAAGAACACCCTATTCCACTTCCATAGCCATAGGTGTATGTGGAGAGAGGGAGCACAGGAAGGAGAGGAGCAAAGTGACAGGATGCTTAGATTTGAGGAGGCAGAGGGCCCCTGTGTCACTCCAGCTGTGTCCTTGGAAATATGGTGAAAACCATGATGACATTTTATAGATTCTACTGGAGGGGGAAAAAACACCTTCAATATACAACAGATTTTTGAAGACTCTGAAAGTGGATTTCACTTTAAACAAGTGGAAAAGTAAAAAAGAATACATTGGAAGGGCTAAAGCAAGAAATTCTAAGTAAAATGGTATAGAATCAAATGGTTTGTGGTACAAAGAAGAGAATCTACAAATCTGAAAAAAAAAATAATAGTGGTCCAGAACTTTTATGAAAAAAAAAAAAACTCAAACACATATGCAACACCCACATACACACACCATCTTACATATATTTAAATATACAAAACTCTTACTCTAGAATTTGTGTTCAGTAATTCTCACTAAAGTTTTTTGAGGCTTTTTATAAATGTTGTATTAAAAAAATAAAAAAAAAATTTAGCCATCTGTATTTCTATTGTCTAAACATTAAATATATATATACACACACATACACACACACACTAAATACACACACACACATACACTATCTTAATTATATATGTGCTGTATCTAATTAATTAGAACTTAATATAGAAAAGTATTTGTCAAGCCAGGCATGATGGTATACACCTGTAATCCCAGCGGCTCTGGAGCCTGAGGCAGGGAGATTGCAAATTCAAAGTCAGCCTCAGCAAAAGTGAGGCAGTGTCTCCAAATAAAATTCAAAATAGGGTTGGGGATGTGGCTCAATGGTTGAGTGCCCCTGAATTCCATCACTGGTACTCCCTGCAGCCCCCACCAAAAAAAAAAAAAAAAAGAATTTATCAGAATAGTACATTCTATCCAGTTCTAGATTTCAATTTATTTCCTTTATTCCAAATCCATGTGTCTACAATAAGCATTAACCCCAGAAAACAGCCTAATAATATAAAAGATACAAAAATACTCAGAACTTTCTTCAGTCTTTGTTATTTGATACATCCTGCCTTTCTGCATATCTTCATAAGATTTTGAGAATAAATGTCATTTTCTCCTCTTCCACTAGGTGCCGATTATTTCAGAGAGTCCATTTGTTTTCTTGATCTTAAAAGGATTCATAATAAACCCTCAATAAGTATCAGTTAAATTAATCAGTGAGTAAATAAATGAGTTAAAAAATGAATAGAGGGCTGGGGATGTGGCTCAAGCAGTAGCATGCTCGCCTGGCATGGGCGGGGTGCTGGGTTCAATCCTCAGCACTACATAAAAATAAAATAAAAAGATGTTGTGTCCACCGAAAACTAAAAAGTAAATATTAAAAAATTATCTCTCTCTCTCTTTAAAAAAAATTTAAGAAAATGAATAGATTTCTTTGGTGCTTTCCTACTTATCAGGACAGTTGGAAATTTAAAGCAAACAACTGTGACTTTAAATAATTGTTATAAAATTATTTATGGTTTTATTATAATTTTAATATTGCATTCATTATTTTATCCATGGATTTTGTTGAATGGTCTATCAATCATTCTAAGGAAGACCATTCCTGAACTCTTGTAACCAGGGACCTAGAACCAAAAAGATTTGATCTCAGCAATATCATACTGGGCACTGACCCTTGACAATGGTAAACTGTTTGAAATAAAATCAGGGTTTAAAATAATTAGGTGGTAATCATAGCCATCTGGAAATGGAATGCTAGCTAGCATTGTAGCCAGGCTCTTTGCACAGATGCAAATATTTTTCAAGAATAACTTCCAACAGCCAAGTGCTGGGACATGTGCAAGTTGGATCCACTGAAGCACTGATATCTCCACTTGCTCTCAAAGCCTATAGTTTGTGAAACAGCTAGAAAGATCCATGTACATAATCTACCTCTATTTTCCCAGTGAAAGGAAATAAATGACATAAATCGATGTGAACCCAGCATCTAATATAGAATTTATAGGCTCATATACTAGAAATTTATGAGTCAAGAAGAGGAGAAGTTCATCATTCCAACAGTAACACCTGTTTCTTGACTCAGCTTTCTGTAAATAATGCCTAAGTAATTTTATAGATTTCTCCATTTTCTCCTGAGACAAAATTATCATGGCAGGAAGTTTCCAAATAATGTCAGTTGTTTTCAGTGGTGCATATTTCTTATTGCACCATTTTAAAACAAGATTGATCTCAAATAAATATTACAAAAGAACACTTTTTAAGAAATGATATCAGAAGCAATTAAGTGGGAAACTTCATAAACTTTTCTTATAAACGAGTTAAGCAGAACACTTAAGTAGATTTTTTTTTTTTTTGCTTTTAGTGGAAAAGTATAAATTATAACTGTATAAATTAAACTGATTAATTAAATTAAACTGATGTCTAGGGTGTTTTTAATTTGTTTTTAATCTCCCACATTATAGTCTAAAGTCACTAAATTAATCAAAATAAGGATGTTAGGATCTACTCAGGTTCTCCATATTCTTAGACTGTACTTCAGACCTATTGACAAAGAGCTTAAGTATATGGAACTCTGATTTCTGCATTTTGAGTAATTCCTCAGATGATCTTTGCTTTTTCTAAGATTGAGAACCACTGGGAGGGAAGGTTCAATGAGTCAGGAAGTTTTTTTTAAAGAAATGACTCCACAGTGCTGTTCGACTTTGGATCTTCTTTCTGTAGGCCTCTTCCTCACCCATTAATTAAGTTAGTATATAAAATATGGAGTGGGAGAAGAAAGAAGACTGAAATTTGGAGGAATAAGTGTGGAGGAAAATTGAAGGACAGATCCTCCTTCGATGCTTACCAAGTCAAAAAAACAGAAGACATCTAGACACCATTCAGCCAGCATCCTCTAACTTCATTTTCCATTTTTTAAAATTATGGATAACCCAGCTAAAAATGAATGGGAATAAACAGAAAATGAAAAGCAAACCAAACCATCAAATCAACACAGATGCCCTAAATCAAGAAACAAGAGTTGGAATGGCATGTAGAAGCTAATGATGTCAAGATACATTGAGACTTCAAATTGGAGGCCTGAAGTTGTAATGTTTATCATAACAGATGATTTGCTGCTGGGTCTGCGTCAGTGTATACAATACTGTGCGAAGCTGCACCCTTCGGGCTGCCTCAGGCATGGAAAGGGAAGGAAAATATCTGTAGTCCTCAGCTGTGGAAAAAGTGAGGAAGATTGCTATCGGTACTGGACTTTGGATGAAATATACAGTTCTGTATGAGAAAATAAACTCTTAGGTCTGTACTTCAGTTGTTGGATTTAAAGGTAAACTCCCTATGTTGTTAGGAACCCTAATTTATAGAAACAATTGGCCATCACCATTCAAATTCATAGGATCCCTTTTGTATATAAAGGCAAAACTGGGGCACTCACATCTCACAGATTTTAAAGTCAACTTTTGCTGAAGGTAAGCTTTCATCCAAGATTTACAAACTGTATGAAAAATTGTAGTAACACCAGGGAGAGTCTGTGGATGCTAGGAGCAATAGAATTACCATGTTCAGAATGGAAAGAAATAGGTCAATCTGAAAGAGAGTGCATTAAAAGTATGTTTGAAATACTTAAATATCTAAAAGAGAATGAAAAATACATACTGAAAGAACTAGAAAGTGAGAAAAAAAGACATATTTAAAAGAATTTAAAACATTCAGACTAAAAAAATCATAACATTAAAAATTGAATCAATGTGTTAAATAGTTCTTTAAAACTGTGAAGAGTGAATTAGACAAATGAAAAATGTGTAAAAAATAAAGTGGCCAGGCACATTGGTACACACCTGTAACCCCAGATACTTGGGAGGCTGAGGCAGGAGGGTTGCAAGTTCAAGTTTGGTGTGGGCCACTTAGCAAGACCC